AAAGGAAATTCAGAAGATCAAAATGTAGCCAGAGGCTACAGTATTTAAGCCTCATTCAGAGTAGGTCAAGGTGCGTTAGCCAGGGCAATAGTCATGCTGCTGCTGGACAGGAGGTTGGATCCTTGTAGCCTGCCTGGTCATAGTTCCCAGCTCTGGGTCTGTGTCACATGATTTTGATGCAACTTTAATGTCTTAACTAGGAAAATGCAAGTCGATAATGCTGTTAAGCAAACACAATGCACAGAACTATGCACCCCATGTACTATATTTACAATTTTTAAATGAATACAATGCAATAAACCAAAATCCAATGTGGCAAGAAAGAACACCTGGGCAGAGGAAATAAAGAAGGATATTGAACAACCTAGTGGGCTCATATACAACACTTTTCCATCCCAACTTCAGTCTTCTCACCCTTTCGAAACAGAAGGTAATTTTGGTTAATGCAAATAGATCTTAAACAGATCTTAAACATTAGAGGCGGCTTTTCCATCCCAACTTCAGTCTTCTCACCCTTTCGAAACAGAAGGTAATTTTGGTTAATGCAAATGAAACTGATCTTAAGCTGATCTTTAGAGACAGAAAAATCTCCAGGGTGAAGGACAGCCTTTCCTCACTAAAGAGATATTGACATTGCTGTATTGCCACCTTTCAGCATTAAATTATAGCACTGAGCAGGGCCAGAGTAGCACCATTTTAAAGTCAGAGCACACATTGCTAATGATGCAGAATCACAATGTATACCAGATGTAGAAGATACTCTTCTCTTCAGCTCAGCCCACAGGTTTTCAGCGGGGTTCAGGTCAGGGGACTGAGATGGCCATGGCAGAAGTTTGATTCTGCAGTCAGCTAACCATTTTTGTGTTGATTTGGACATTTGCTTAGGATCACTGTCCAGCTAGAAGATCCAATGATGGCCCAGTTTTATTTCCTGGTAGAGGCAGGCAAATTTTGATTTAAAATGTCCTGGTATTTGATGGAGTCCATAATGCCATGTACCCTAATGAGATTTCCAAGGTCGTTGGAGGAAAAACAGCCCCACAACATCACAGAACCTCCACCCTATTTTGCATTTGGGATAGGGTTCATTTCATTATAGCCATCCTCCTTTTTATGCCAAATCTACATTATGTTTATTGCCAAAAAGATCCATTTTTGTTTCATCAGACCATTTAATTTGGTTCCAGTCAAAGATGTAGTAGTGTTTCGTAAACTCCAGGTGCTTAAGTTTGTGGTTAACTGACAAAAAAAGCTTTTTCTGCACACTGTAAAAAACAACCTATAAAATCTACTCAATTAAATTGAGGTAACAATTTGCACTTAGTTTGTTTGGGTAGATTTCACCCCAAATTTTGAGTAAAGAGTACCCAATTTTAAGAGCTATAATAAAGTAAAACAAAATGGGTGAAACAGACATAACATATATCTATACACTTAACAACTAATTACTTAGAAATTTTGAGTAACAATAAGTTAATTGTGAATAATTCACGTTTTACCTACCCAATAATATTAACTATGATTTAATCAACATAACTATTTAGCCATTACTTATTCAGGGGAGGTTAGCTTTACATTTACATTATTTGGCAGACGCCCTTAGCCAGAGCGACTTACATAAGTGCTTTAAGACTCCACAATGAATTTTTCCCGATACTAGCTCAATAAAACCAAGGCTATGAATACCATCGACCTAATACTCTGTTGGGAAAGTGCTTATTTTTTTATTTATTTATTTATTTATTTTTTTTTAAGGAATGCCAGAAAGTATAATGCCAGAAGTGCTAATTCAGGTATTTCTGGA